CGAAGCCAGTAGGAGGCGAGTGTGATGCCAGAGCGAGGGGACGGGACGGGACGGGCCGGCCTCAGCTCCAGGCACAGGGAGGCAGCGAGCGCTCAGCCCTGCTCAGCCCCAGCCCTCCGTCCACCGCCCGGGACTGCACCCTGCTCCAGAGCTGCCCGCGGGAACGCGGCAGCAAACGGCAGCTCTGAGGCTTTCCCCAAAGGGCCCCAGCATTTGAGCAGCCTCCTCGCACTCTGTGGATGAGATTTTATGCTCTTCTCCTGTCCGTGGGCAAGCCCAAGGCAGCGAGCGCTCAGCCCTGCTCAGCCCCAGCCCTCCGTCCACCGCCCGGGACTGCACCCTGCTCCAGAGCTGCCCGCGGGAACGCGGCAGCAAACGGCAGCTCTGAGGCTTTCCCCAAAGGGCCCCAGCATTTGAGCAGCCTCCTCGCACTCTGTGGATGAGATTTTATGCTCTTCTCCTGTCCGTGGGCAAGCCCAGGGGAGCCCTGACACCCCAAGAAGGTGCTGCTCAAGGCCTTGGGGCAGCAGTGCTCTGGGTGGAAGCTGGGTGAATCCGAGACGGCGAGGGCCACGGGGCCGGAGCAGATCTCCTCCAGAGCAGACTGGCTCTGCTCCTTCTTTCTGCCTCACGCCAGTGCTTCCTTTGCAGTTCGGGGGCTTGGAAGCGGTGATCACGGCCGTGATGGACGAGTACCCTCAGGTCCTCGCGCAGCGCAGGGAGCTCTTTGTCCTTGGTCTCATCACGGTGTGTTTCCTGGGCTCTCTGACCACCCTCACCTACGTGAGTATGGCACTGGCAGGCTGGACATGCTCTGCTTCATCCCTCGCCAGGCGTTTATTCCTTTCTCCAACTACTCTGGGAGCAGATTTTGCCAGAGACCTGATAAACGCCCCAACAGGTCTGTTGAAAGCCCTCCACTAACTCACCCCCGCGTTCGGGAAGCCCTCAGAGATCACCATGGCATGGCCTGCTCCATGAGCCAGGTCTGTCCCCATAGCTGAGCCTGGGGACGCGGTCGAGGTGCAAGGGACGCAGGAGAAACCCTGCAGGAGCAGGGCTGCGGGAGCCCCTCCATGGAGAGCAGCCTTCGCTCCCAGCCTCCCGGGAATCTAAACCTTGGCAAAAAAGGCACGTGCCGAGAGCAGAACGGACGCAGCGCACCTCTGGGCGAGCTGCCACCTCGCCTGTGTCGTTCCAGGGCGGCGCGTACGTGGTGAAGCTCCTGGAGGAGTTCGGAGCTGGCTGCTCCATCCTGGCAGTGGTGCTACTGGAAGCAATAGCTGTGTCCTGGTTTTATGGTAAAGAACTGCCTCTCTGTTATTAAGCATATACTGTACACCAGGAAAACCTCCTGCAGGCCCTCGCACAGATGTTCAACCTCACGCACGCGGGGGAACGGCAGGGAACGCAGGGCCACGTCAGTGCAGGAGCACACGCGTGACTCCCGGCACGGCGGGGATGAGGGGCCGGGGCACTGCAGTTCCGAG